GCATTTATGGACTTTCAGAGCCCCTTCAATTGTGGAAAACTATAGGATTTTTTTTAAATGAATTCTTTATTTAAGTGTGATTTCTTAATTAAATGTTATTTTCTCCAAATGCTTTAGAAATTCCTTTGAGATTAGTGTGGTATTACATTTTAGATTTTTACATTTTTTTATTATAGTTTACAGATTATTTCCTAATACTAAAAACTAATGTTTGTTTTTTAATATAATTTTAAATGTCAGAAGACAACAGTAGAGCTATGTGTTTCACTGGAAGCTGCATATCATCATGAAACATGTGACACTTCATGTCTCGCATGTCTGCATATTGTATTTTGTCCTTGTTATATCTGAATTATTCATGTTACAATAATCAGCTGAGTGAGGATTAGCTTCATCAGAGTGAAAACTTGGAGCAGCACACTGTAACTCATTACAAATTCATGGCATGACATTTATATTTTTAAAAGATGAATTATACTCTGAACTGACAGGCAATTTTACCACAGCAATGATTAACTTTCCACTTTGATATAAAGCTGATCCATTGTATGTATTTATGTTTCTGTCTGTGTTTTATGCTCTAGGAAAAAGCTTCTCAGAGAACCAAACAAATACAGTTGTTCAGGACCTGTGCAACTCACCAGAAGTGTTAACAGAGGCCTATCAAATGACCAAAGGTAATTTGTCCATGTGTAAATAGACTTGCATTCTCTCAGCTTTCACTGGAGGAGATGACATATTGTGTTTCTTTCATGATTAGTGTAGTACAGTTTTAGCTTCATGCACAAATAAATATCCTCTAGCAAGCAGTGCTATAATTAGGGCATTTATGGACCTTTTTTGTTTCAGTGACTTAGTGTGTTCTCAGAGCTCCACTGGTGACTGTAGCCCAGCGAGCCTTCTCACAACGTGTTCATGCAGCGCTGGCTATGCCACAGGCTTCTCCACCGAACACAGCTCCATCTACTCCTGGAGATACGATGTAAGGATTTTGATGCCATCTGTTGCTCAGTATATCCCATCACTGTTTAGTATGTAAACTTGTAAGCAACAAAAAAGATAAACATCTCAAATAATCTGCAGTAAATTCCAACATCATTCTGATCTAAAGCCTTATGCTTGACATTTGTTTCCAAGTTAATAAATGTAAAGCATGCTGAAGTACAAAAGGCTATTATTTATCATCTAAAACATAGGGTAGTTTTGATTCTGCCTTATATCAATCACATGGTTTAGATTAGCTGGATATACAGTCAGGTCCATAAGTATTTGGACAGTAACACAATTTTTGTAATTTTGTCTCTGTACACAACCACAGTGGATTTGAAATAAAGCAGTCAAGATGTGACTGAATTGTAGACTTTCAGCTTTAATTTAATGGATTATTCAATTATTTATTTATAATTATGTTAGTTTGTCCAATTACTTTTGAGCCTGTGACGATTGTGGGAATGTATAAAAATGGCTGTAATTCCTAAACGGTTAATGCAATATTTTTGCTAAGCCCCTTTAATTAAAGCTGAAAGTCTACACTTCAGTCATCTTGATTGCTATTTTTCAAATCCATTGTGGTGGTGTACAGAAGCAAAATTACGAAAAGTGTGTCACTGTCCAAATACTTATGGACTCTACTATACATGTCAGGAGCGAAGTAAATGATTTTTCTAATAGATTAAAGCACTCTTGCATGCAGCCATTCTAGATTAATTGACAAGTTTATTATTAACACAGCCACTAAAATCACAGGCCCCAATGTTTTGGATCAGTTTTTGTCACCCATACATCATTGAAAGGCAGACAGTGAGCCAGTTCTGTCTGCCATGTTTCTCAAACATGGAACACTTGCCAGTATTCAGTTGCCTTTGCCAAGAAAAATACATGCTGAAAAAAAGACAGCTCTCCATATGCTGGCATCCAAATTGGACACTCTTTATCTTTGGCATGCACCAACATTGTCTAGAATTTCTCCCTACCCCAAAACCTGGCTCCCAAATGGAACACAAGGGCCGTAACAATATTTTCAACTGAAGAAAACATATTGTGTGGGGAATATCACAATATACTGTTGATTAACTCATTATGAGCACATTACTAGTCCATTGGGGTGATGGTGTGAGTTGTGTTCTGTGCTGTGCATGCAGGAGTTTGACCAGGAGAATACTCAGCATGTACGACAGCTCTTTAGTGCCCTGGATGAACTGCTGTATGAAGGTAAAGTGTGCAGTAAATCAGAGTCTCTGCGCAAGGAGTGTGAGGAGTGGAACACACACTCCCCCCACCTCAGGTACACACCCATCTACCGTGTTCTATCATCCATGTTCTCAGTACCTCAGCACCTGTATGTGCTTTCTGGCTTTGTGACTACTGATTTGTTCTTGGAAACGCTAAAATTGTCACACGCTCAAAAGTAATTTGACTGATAAGCAGTTTCATGGACAGTTTTGTGGCCTGTTTCTTCCTTATTTCCTGACAAATTTGGGCGATAAAAGTTCTGAAGTTGATTCCCAGCATTGAATTTGCATTTGGTAGCTGTTCATGGGAACTCCTCTATATGTGGTCCAAAGAGGCTGAAAAAACAAAACATACCTATCGAAGAGATAGCAGAAACTTTAGGAGTGGCCAAATCAACAATTTGGTACATTCCTAAAAAGAAGGAATTCACTGGCAAGCTCAGCAACATCAAAAGGCCTGGAAGACCACGGAAGACAACTAATGTGGATGATCATAGAATTCTGTTTTTTTTTTTTTATTTTGTTGAAGAAAAACCCCTTCACAACAGCCAAGTCTAGCACACTCTCGAGGAGGTTGGCATATCATTGTCAAAGTCTACAATCAAGAGACGCCTTCATGCATGTAAATACAGACAGTTTACCTCAAGATACAAACCACTGGTAACACTCGAGAACAGAAAGGCCAGATTAGACTTGCTAAAAAAGCCTGATCAGTTCTGGAACAAGATCAACTTGTAACGGTGGGAAGAGAAGAATATGGAGAAGGAAAGGGAAGGCTCATGATCTAAAGCGTACCATGTCATCTGTCAAACATAGTGGAGGAAGTGTTACAGCATGGGCATTTATGGCTGCCAGTGGAACTGGGTCACTGGTGTTTATGGATGCTGTGACTGCTGATAGAAGTAGCAGGATGAATTCTGAAGTTTATAGAGCTATATTTTCTACTCAGATTGAGTCAAATGCTGCAAAACTTATAGGACTGCGCTTCACATTACAGATGGATAATGACCCAAAACATACCGTGATAGCAACCCAAGAACACCTTAAGGCAAAGACATTAAATGTTCTTAAATGTCAGATGACCTCAACCCAATAGAGCATGCTTTTCACTTAGTGAAGACAAAACCGAAGGCAGAAAGTCCCACAAGCAGCAACTGAAGGCGGCTACAATAAAGGCCTGGCAAAGCATCTCAATGGAGGGAACTTAGCATGTGGTGATGTCCATGGGTTCCAGACTTCAGGCAGTCTACATCCAAATGCTGGATTCAAGTTTTTAAAATAATCCTAATATTTATGATTGTTGGTTTGCCCAAGTACTTTTGAGCCTTTTTCAGGAAAGGTGGAAATAATTCTGACTCCTCAGAGAGAATGTATTCTAGATTATAGAAATGCACATTTTTAAAATTCATTTGTGTATTTTATTTATGGTTTTATTTTTTGCTGAGAGAAATACTGTATCATATTTTAATGTGTATGTTGAATTTTATTATTCTTTAACATTTTTAATGTAACAGAGTAACAATTTTCATGTAAAAAAACCAAAAACAAAAAAACAAACAAAACAAAACAATGGCTATGTAAGCAAACTGCAATTGGTGATGCTCCAGGATTTTAGGCAATCAGTTGGAGCCTCCAAAGCAAGAGGGAATTCAGTATGTGCACTGGAGACCCGCTAGCACTAGGACTGCAGCGTCACTTCCGTGCCTGGATACAAGAGACAACCACAGCGAGTAAGCTCTCACTTATCTACCAGTCCACACACACTAGAACCGACTATGTTATAATGTGATGCAAACCTGTGAAAGACAATATGTTTGGTGACAGCATACCTAAAGTAGACTGATTTAAGACTCATTTTCTGTGCACTACTTTGAGATGCATGTCTGCTTCCCCCAGTCTCTTGTATGTCCTGAGATCTTATCCCACTTACAAAATGTTAAAATTATTTTTCAATCCTGAGTTTCCTCAAAGATTTACAGTTTCCTTCCTTTTTCCTTTAGTTGATGGTAGTTAAAATGTCTACTCTAAATTGCTACTGTGTGTGAGTGTGTGTGTGTGTGTGACCTTTGATAGATGTGTTCCTATCTTGAAATGAGTGTTACTGGCATAGGGTCCGGATCTACCATAACCCTGACCAGATCAAACTGGTTACTATGAAAACTACTTAAATAATATTTATTATAACATTTTATTTAAACAATTACCCTCTCTCTCTTTCTCTCTGTATGTATGTATGTGTGTGTGTATAATATATATGTGTGTGTGTGTGTGTGTGTGTGTGTGTGTGTGTGTGTGTGTGTGTGTGTGTATGCATATAATTTTAAATAAATCTGAATTTGAAAAATATTTGTCTGAATAAACATTTGTCTAAACTGATTAATAAACTAATTTATTCATATTTATTACAGAAACAAATTGTGGTTAAACAGTGAATTTTGAAAGAAGCAGTGCTAATTAACTGGTATTACATTCCAGTGTTGTAGGCCTATTAGAGTCCCATTTGGAGAGTGACATTTTGTGTTTGACTGAATAAAAGTGATGGCTGGCTCTGTGGGAGATTCTGATGACTGGCTCCGGTAGGCACGAGGCCAACAGCTGACAGATAAGACAGATGGATAAGGGACGCACGTGCTGCAGAGCAGGGAACGACCGGATTAAGAACACAGCCTACCCGAGATATCCATCCCCTCTGGACATTTCGGTGCTTTAAGAGTTTGTCATAGACTTCTTGTGGCGTGAAGTTCTAGAGAAGTTCTCAGAACTCGCAGGTCCTTGGAGGACTAGTGGTTAGGCCACAGTGCTCTCAATGCTGCGGCCCGGGTTCGATTCCTGGCCAGGGAACCGACCCCAGCCACTGGGGTTGCGTGCAACAGTGTGCTCTCAGTTCCGGTCCCAAGCCTGGATGAAAATTGGGGAGGGTTGCATCAGGAAGGGTATCCGGTGTAAAAACTGTGCCAAATCAAATACGCGGACCAATGATCCTCTGTGGCAAACCCCTAACGGGAGCAGCCAAAAGAAGAACAACAGTTATCTCAGAACCAGCACTAAGGAGATTAAGGGCTACTTCTAGGTTGAGTTTATGCCATCACAGCTTTTAGTCATGTAGTTTGCATGTGTTGAGTTTATTCAAAATGGGGTAACACTTAATTATATCACAAATTCAAGCAAATGTTTATCTGATTCACATATTGCATAAATCTGCTAAGGACCTGTTGTCCTACCATTTAAATGAAAACTACAATAATATGCTCATGTGACCCACATGCATGGCAACAGTTATAGCTATGAGATTTACCTAAATTCCATCCATAGTTTGTTAGTATTCAATACCCTAATTTCTTATTAATTATCTAATTTACCAATGTGTGCCCTCAACTGTTGCCTTGTGTGTGATGTTTTTTTATTCTTTATCATATTCTTTAGAATTACTAGTAAACTTTTGAAAAGGTACTTTGCTTTTGCTTTTACTTTTCATTTTAGTGCTCTAATGTGTTAGCCCTTGATGCATGGATTCATGCTATTGATTGGTTTTCAGGGCTGCTTTCTCTTTCACTAGAATGCATTTATCAACTGACTCCAAATGTACAGCGCAAATCATGTTTTTATTTTACGTACACTGCCACATACCAGCCCTCTAGCAGAAAGCTCCATACCTGATTTAAAATATGCAGTGCTTTGTGGAGTAATGGGGTGAGATTGCAGTAAAAATGCCCATAAGTGCTGCATTTATCAGTCTGGCCTAGTTATGATGAGAGTTTTCTTTCTCTCTCTCTCTCTCTCTCTCTCTCTCTCTCTCTCTCTCTCTCTCTCTCTCTCTTTTGCATTCTTTGTCTTGTACTGATTCCTCTTCTTCCTCCCTTGCAGGCTATGTGTGGAGGGCCACAGACTAGCCCCGGGATCCTGGGCTGGTCAATCTGTACACTCTGGGTTGCCTATTTCAGAGCTATCATCCACTCTTATCTCTCAAGAGGAGGAGATCTACGAGGTAGAGGGCAGGATAGAGGAGTTTCTAGCTTATGATGGGAGAGAAACGTAAGCCACAACAGTTCTTTTACACAATCAATCTTCAGTTTTTCCGCATTAACATTATATATGCCTTATTTAAGCATTCATTGTGCACTGTGCAGATAGTAAGTAATTAAGTAAAAGTAAATACATTTTCTAAAATGGAATCTCGCACGGTTCACGGTTTATTTAAAAACCTTAAATAAATGGTTCCTTCACAGGGACAAACCAAATACCTCTATGATCCTAGGAGCTTCTTGTTTTTTTTCTTTTCTTCACATCAAATTCAGGCACACAAATTTCTGTTCTGTTGACTACACTGTTTGGCTTCCTGATGAGTTCTCTGGTTGGTTAAGAATTAGAGCTACCTGAAGTGGTTTTACTATGTTCAACATACAGAATTATTGGCACCCATTAATAGAATTTGCCGAAAACATTGTGGAAAATAAATGTTATGAACAATGACTACATTACCAATGTGAATATTTAATAAGAATTTCTAATATCCAATAAAAATTTGATTTGGAGAAAATCATAATTCTTTTATGAACTTTAACAGTAGTGTTCCCTTCAAAAAAGTTACTGTAATTAAAGTAAACTATAATTGTTTTTAATGCATTCAGTGTACATTCAGTGCGTTGTTGTTGCTGACCAAAGAAAAGATATTGTGGGTACACTGAACCTTTTTTTTTTTTTTCCTGACACAGTATGCTACAACAAACTTTTTTTTTTTCCCTCAGAGTGTATATAGAAATAGAGGTCACATTGACCCATGCCACTGGCTTTTGACATAGACACACAAAACCTTTACACTTTAGGATCCTGCTGATGGCAGGTGTCTGTACAGTTAAAGAAATCAGGAATGTAACAGTGACTATATTAAATTTATTATATAAATTGATCCAGATAATAAAATTTTATAATGTAAAAATCGATTATAATATTGCTTCACATTTATTAAAATTTTGACCTAAAAACATAAGCACTAAAATAGGACCGTTTTAGTGACCTTAAACTAGTTTATGGTACATCCTTTTCATAAATTATTAATTAGTGTTGACCAGGAGAAAATGTCCTGCTAGTTTATTATACCAGTAGAGACATTTGTGTACATTACACATTGAGGATAGTGTGTGTGAACGTGTGCATGGCTCTTTTTTTGTTAGGGACAATGAGGGAATGGATCAGAGGAAGGCCTCGGCCATTGCCTCCTGGGATGGTATACCCCACATGTCCCCCAACGCCTGCATCCGCGGTGCTGTGGCTGATGAGCTGTTTGATGATGTATGGCGGGAAGTAGTGTGTTTACTGGAAGATCTGTTGCGCAAACACTGGGAGAAGCAACATTCTGGTGAGTGTACCTAATTCAAACTGACAGAGATGCTCACATTTGTATGCCAGTGCTCCTGTCATACATTTCCATAAATTTCAGGAAGCACAGTGAGGTCAATCCTTAATTCATATTGGTACAAAGTTGCAATAATAGAAGACACAATCCAGACAGAAAGAAAGAAAAGAAGAGCATTAAGTAATTTATTTGGAATTAAGGACAACTAGGCTCATGATTAAATATTTAGAAAGGTTCAGTGTAACAAGAGTATTATATAGAGGATCAAGTGATCTTGAGTGATGTATACACACAAAATGAATATTACACATAGCAGTCTGTTTGAACTTGTTTGGATCTGTGATTTTTTTTTATATATATATATATATAATTACAGTCAGGTCCATAAATATTGGGACATCGACACAATTCTAACATTTTTGGCTCTATACACCACCACAATGGATTTCAAATGAAACGAACAAGATGTGCTTTAACTGCAGACTGTCAGCTTTAATTTGAGGGTATTTACATCCAAATCAGGTGAACGGTGTAGGAATTACAACAGTTTGCATATGTGCCTCCCA